CACACAGACACACAGACAGACAGACATATATATATATACATATATTTATTTAAACAATACTGTCTAGCACTTGTTGCGCCTACTGCGTACACATTATACAAAGGCATATATATATATATACATATACATATACATATGTGTGTGTATAAACACACACACACACTTTTACACACGGACACGCACACAAACACATATCTATCTTTCTATCTATCTATCTATCTATCTATCTGTCTATCTATCTATGTACCTATCCATCCATCTATCTATCTATCTATCTATCGATCTACCTATCTATCGATCTATTTATCTGTCTATCAAAAAATACATATATATATATATGTATATATATATATATTCTTGACAGCAGTAGTATCAGCAGCAGCAGGAGGAGTGCTAATGATGATAAACACAACAGGACTATTCACATGGAGCATGGCATAATCATGTCCAAAGTCATATGAAAAAGGCATACAGCGGTCAGGCAATGCGGTTCTGTCATTCCTTTGTAGTGGCGTTGGTAGCTGAAGGAGTTGCAGTACTTATGAACCGGTTTCCCGATGGAAGACCTTGCCTTCTGGTGGTAAAAGAAGTCCCCTTCAAGGATTTCATCGTGGCCCTGTATAGAAGTCACCCGGAACCCGAAACCCAACCTCAAGCCTTGCGTGACAAGGCGGGCGTCGAACACACATGATGCATATCGTCAGCTAATGCTTTTATTGCAATGTTCAATACTCAGTAACGACGCACTGGCAATGTTTAATTTTTTTTGAATACTGAACCACCATTTCAACAAGTACGTATCTAAAGGTTTTACCCATAGGCCCCGAAGTAGTTCATTTTTGTGGTTCATATTGAGAATCCTATAAGGTAATCCCACAAAGGGAACTGCTTAGGGACCTATGGGTAGCTCCCACTTCAGGGACTTCGTCTTAGCGCAGAAGCTCGTCTCTCTACCCGGTCTCGTGGTGGGCGTTGTTGGGCAGAGGCTCAGGGCTTTAGGATTTAGAGTTCTAGGGTTGTTTAGGGTTTAGAGTTTAGGGGTTGGGTGGGTTGGGCTTGCAAGACTTAAGGGTTGTACAGTTTTGGTATTAGGGTTGCAAAGACTTGTGGTTTGCGGCTTGGGTTGTAGAGGTTTGGAGTCCGGTTCTCCAGTAGAGGCTCCTCGTCTCAGGGTGGTCATAGGTCATCGGAGGCTAACAGGATTTTGGCATTTTGGGTTTGTAGCTTTAGCAGTCGTGATAATGTCCCCCACACTGGCAAAGGCAAGTTCGATTGAGTGCACCCTACCTACAGTCTCCATTGTAGTTCCCTTTTCTTGGTTGAACCAATTTTATATTACGGGCCCTAAAAGGTAACACCAAAAAGGAACTACAATAGAGACTGCAGGTAAACCCCAAAACCGGCCAAACCTCAATCTGAAATGAGCAGCGAAAAAAGTAGGCGCATGCTTGCAGATGGTCACGACGGCTGCAGTACATCTATGATCATCTATGAGCACTCGTAGCGTGCATGCATACGTGCTGCTGCATGTCAGAGGTTAAGAAAGAGACTCAGGTGGATGCCCTGCGATCTCTAAGGGTCCATGTACCCAAATGGTATATACCTTGTCCCTAAAGTATTTGGGGCCAAAGTATATACTATTTTGGGTACACGGACCCTTATAGAATGCCTTAGAACCGCGGATGAGCGTCCAAGCTCGAGAGCTTGGGATCGGACCTGGGGGTGCTCCTCTTGCTCTTGGGTTCAAGCACCCATAGGCCCCTAAGTAGTTCCTTCTTGTGGGCTTATATTTAGAATCCTATAAGGTAATCCCAAAAAGGAACTACTTAGGGGCCTATGGGTAGTGACATGTACGAAGTGCTTTGCAAGAAGAGAAGCCCTTAACCAAAAATCCCTAAGCCAAACAGCCCGAGAAGGACCATCGTTTCGCAGAACCGTCGTCAAGGTAGTTCCGCGAAGCAGAACTGATCGCCCGAGGCCTTAACATCAAAACCTGAAGTTAAGCCCAAACCCTAAACGCCCAAAAGCCTCAAACCCCTCAACTATACAAAACCCTAAATCCCTAGCTCAAACTTCCCAGAGATGGGTTTTGACATGTGAATGCTTTTGGTCGACAGTTGTTGAGGAATTGGTTGTCCCTTCTAGGCTCGGAGGGTGCCCGGTTCCTGAAGGCAGGATCAACCCGAATTCCCGAACATGACGCGAACCCCTGGAATACACGAAAGTTGGCGATGAATTCCGGTGTCGGTCAGGATCTGCTACAGGGGTCGAGGTGTCATACCCAAAGCCCCCTTCGCCCGAAGTCCCCAACAGAAAGGACATGAAACCCTCACGACATCCCCGGACGAGCCGGAGACCCAGAGCTGCGCAGGCATGTTCCGGGCATCATCGCCCAGCTGCAACGCCCCTTCCGAGAAGAGGTCACAAGGGTTGCATGAGGTTTTCGAGAGTGAAAGGTTCAGAAGCACGGGTGTCTGGGTTATCTAAACCCTAAACCCTAAACCTGGAAACCCTAAACACTAAACCCTAAACCTTGAAACCCCTAAACCCTACACACTTTAAGCCCTAGAGCCTCCAAGGTTAAGCTTTCAGGGCTCTCAGTGCGCAGAAAGGTTGGCCCTTAACCTGAACCCCCTAACTACCCTCCTCTATACCTTAACTTGCCCGCAATTACTTAGGACAAGAAAGAGCTTTTGCAAAGGGCATTTGCGGGGTCCCGGTATTGACCCAAGCTGAGACTTTACACCTTGAAGCTCAGCACAAAAACAGGCAGAGTTAAACTAAACCCGAAGCCCGCAAGCACCTGCAGAACATCGCCGACTATCTACCTCGCTTAAGACCCGGGAGGATGCCAAGAAGGTCGAGACTCTCTGTGCTGCAGCGCCTTGGAAGTAGTACTTCTTTGAAGCTTGTTAGCTGTAGGGTTTAGGGTTTAGGGTTCCAAAGACTATGAAATGACTGTCGTGAGGATTGAGGTTCGCAAAGCCCCTGACTTTAACTAGGGATAGCAGTACAACGGGTGATTTAGAACTAGTTAAGCACCACAAAGCCACCCTGCCCATCTTACCTACAAGCCCCCTTACTTGTTCTACGTTTTTAGGCATTACTGCATTTGGACCCCTGGTAGGGCCCTCGTGAACTCCTCATGCAGGAACCGGCTATACGCGCACATCAAGCCAGGTCTGTAGGGATACCCTATATTCCCCACTACTCCCTTAGACCCTAACCGCGCAACCACAAATCCCAAACCCCAAACCTTCATCCTTATACCCGCAAACTCTATTTTCGGCTTCCCGATTGACGAAGAGGCCGCACAAACACCTAATCATGTCAGCTCCCTTGGAGAGACGGACTGACCGAAACGATGATGCCTGGGCCCCACATGTTGAGCTTTGTGTGGAGGTTCCAAACCTGTCCCGGGATTATTCGAAGGCCCATCATCGAGCTTACTTTGCTTTGTGTGCTTGCATATGCGCATGCAGGGTTAAACCCTCAACCAAAAACCCTTGTGCCCGACAACACATGCAAGTAATTGGACGCGTAAATAATAGGACGTGAGGAGAGAATCTGCGCCGTACCGCAGTTGGAGCCCCGGAACCCGCCCCAAGAGAAGGATGCAAACACAAATTCTCACTGAAATCTTGCTAGGATTCTAATTATAAACCACAAAAAGGAACTACTTAGGGGCCTATGGGTAGAAAGCCTTCAAAACCGTTGCTTCAACGAGGTGCACCTGCCGCTCTGGCGATCGCTCCTGGGGCGGCCTTTGCTGTGGCATCTGAGAGGGACTGTGCAAAATCACAGGATCGCCTCAGGCGTCCTTCAAGGGTTCCTTCGGATGGTGCGATGAGGTTTCCGTAAGTTCTTCAAGCTATGGTTTAGGGCTTAGTTTTATTTTAGAGTTCAGGCATTAGGGGTTTAGGTTTAGGGTTCAGGCCTGTGGGGTTTGCCACCAGGGCTCCATGAGTGTATATATAAGGGTACTTTAGCACATGGAAAATTGGGGTCCTGGGGGTTGAGCATGTGAGGTTCAGGCTTTCCTGGGTTACAGTTCAAGTTTCAAGGATGGGTGTTTATATTGAGACAGTTGGGTTTTGGCTTGAACACCCTCAAAAGCATAGGCATGTCAAGCCAGTTTGGAACGGTTGGAAGCGTCTCAGACCCATCACGAAAACGCATAAACATCATGAACCCGAAGGCATCTTAGGCACCAGAATCTTTATCAGGAGCCATTCAGCTCTGCATAATTGCATATGTATAGACGTAGCATTCGCTGTTGCACCACATGCCCTAACAAATACTCCTTGGGTAAGTGATTCACTTTAAACGTAACCTAGACTCTAGACTCTATGGCTTCTATATTGAAGCATAAATAACCGCCATAGGCATCCAATGAATACAACCCTAATAATAATACTACAATGTCAATGTGCCAGGAAAGCCCTAAAATCTAGTGGCTCCTGCAGCATGTTTCGCCCCTTGCCTTCTTCCTGCTCCGCAGCTTTCCTTCAAGGCTCTACCGGCTCTTTGGCGCCATGGTTTCCCTCTACGGTTAGGGGATTAGGATTTAGGGTTTAGGGTTTAGGGGTTTAGGGCTTAAGGCATGAACCTCCCATGATGCCGGACCTTTAACCACTCGAAACCCATGAGTAATTACATGACTCATGACCTTGAACCCCCATACTCCAACTATCAAATTTTGAACTCTATAGCTCTAAACCCTATACACCCTAGACCCTAAAAGCGCACCCTAAAACTATAACTCTAAACCCTATACACCCTAGACCCTAAAAGCGCACCCTAGACCTGGCATTGGCCTGGTATTGGGCTGTGCCGCCCCTCGGCCGCATCATGGAGTCTCCTAGGGAGCCGAAGACAGAGCGCTTTTGCTTTTCGTGGCTTTCCGCATCTCCCGTGTGTGTGGGTTTATATTGCTACTGGTCTCCTTCCAATGGTGATTCCTCGGTACACTCCTGATGGTCCTGGTCGCAGTAGTCGTCGTGGTGGTCCTGGTGGTCCTTGGATGGATGGGTGGATGGATGGATGGATGCGAGCAAGCGAGGATGTGTGCGTTGGCATATATATATATATATGTGTGTGTTCTTGTTGTGCGCACGTGTACGAGCGCACTATGCTTCGATTCAAGGTTTTCCGTGAAGATGCCTCGAAGGGGCTTCTGCCGCGAGCTGAGCAAGACCTGTCAATGGCTGAGGAGTTTGAGATATTTTGAGGGTTGCAGTGGGTGTTTCGAGTTTGGCACGCATGGTTGAAGGTTTGGGGTATTAGGGCGAGGGAAGTGGGATTTTCGGGACTTGTTCTCAGCGTAACGCAGGCTGTAGTCTAAACGACTTGTTTTCACGCATAAACTAGGCAACATACAGTTGAAAACTAGTTGAAAACGGTTAAAGCTGCTTGTAGTGACAGTTGCGGCCCATCAGGGCTGACTCAAGACATGCCGGTGGTTTTGTGATCATGAAGCACCACGCGAACAAATCTCCAACGCTTAAATTAAAAAAAGTCGGCCTTATCACAAAGATGCACAGCCAAATGTCCTGGATGCTGGTTGTTGTAAGGGGTTGTCAAAGGAGGGTGGCTCAGGTTCGACACGATTGTCCAGAACCCTAAACCCTAAACCCTAAGCCCCTAAACCCGAAACCCCTAAACTCCTAAACCCTAACCCCTAAACTCCTGAACCCCTATAAACCCTAAACCCCTAAACCCTAAAGCGTCAGACACATCTGGCTCGGGGTTTAGGGTTTATGGTTCATATTTAGAATCCTAGAAGGTAATCCCAAAAAGGAACTACTTAGGGGCCTATGGGTGGTTGGGGCGGGTACCGGGGGCCAAAGGGAGGGGCAAGCATTGCGGTTGGCTTCCGCCTCACTTTCGACCATTCTAGCAGCTGACCACTTTGATTCCGTTGATTTTTTTTGCAGTATGACAGACTGCGGTAGTATGTGGGCCTGCATATTTACCAATAGTATGCTGAGGTTCCTGTTCAATTTTGGTAGAATATGCCCCCAAAGCCCTGTACCAGCTGTGGAGGCCCCTACACTGACCATCGGGTCTACGATCATACCTCTCTGCCGTACACATCCGATCGAGGGCGTGGGAGATTGCAGTTGTCAAGGATAGCCATCAGAGTAGCAGAGCAGGATGTTACCCTAAGCCTTACAACCCAAACCCCCAAACCCCTGTACCCTAGCACACCCTAACAAAACCCAGACCCTAAACCCTAACCCTAAACCCTAAACCCCTAAACCCTAAACCCTAAACCTAAACCCTCACCCCCCATAAACACCCAGACTGTTAGTAGGTCCTCAGATCCTCAGCGCTCCTTTACCCAAAACCGTAAAACCTAAGCCCTTAATCCTTCGAAGCCTTTCTTTGGGGGCTTTGTAGGGGTTAGGCTAAACCCCAAGCCCTAAACCCTAAACCTTGCGACAGAAAAGGCCCTTAAACAAATCTAAACCTTAAACCCCTAAACCCTAAACCCCTAAACCCCTAAACCCTATAAACCCTAAACCCTAAACCCTGTAAACCCTAAACCCGATGCCCAGGCCATGGACTTTAAGCAAAGCCAGCAAGATCATTTTTGGAGCCGGGCCGGGCACCCTCCTCGGCTGTAGCGTGTTAGGGTTTACCTGTAGTCTCTATTGTAGTTCCTTTTTGGTGTTACCTTTTAGGGCCCGTAATGTAAAATTGGTTCAACCAAAAAAAGGAACTACAATGGAGACTGTAGGTAGGGTCTATGATATAATAGGACATATTGTGGGATAGCATAACTCACTTTAGAGTTTCATGTAAAATGTAAAGCAAGATCATGTAAAATAATGCACTTATGGTACAGCTTTGTTTTAGTGTTTGGTTGTGTTCATGTTTTCTAAGTGGGTTTAGGTTCTGTTGTTGCTTGGTTCTTCCAGTGTTTGGGTTTGGGAAGTCTTTCTTTGCAGTTTCAGGGCTGAAAGTGTGGAGGATTCCAAGATAGGTCTTGCCCCTTTACACCGCAGGCCCACAAGAGCCCGAAAAGTAAGTCGCCAGCAGCCTGGCTCCCAAGTGCCAGCTGCATAGGTAGCCAGAAGTACCCTGCCTGTTCTGACAGGTGCAGATCGAGTTTGTGTTTCCCTGCTTGGGTTAGTGAGCTCCTTGATTGGTTTAGGGTTTAGGGTTTAGGGTTTAGGGTTTAGGGTAGTGTCCCACGGTTTTTGTTTGTCTTGCTATTGTGGTTTTTGTCTTGTGCTTCTTGTTGATGGTTGGTGTTGTTGCTGTTGTTGTTGTTGTTGAGGTCTTGTCGTGTGTCATGTTGAACGGCTGCTTTGAGGAAGGAGGGGCAGTCCTGCTCCGTTTTCCGAAGCACAGTGCTGGTTTGTGGGGTTCTGGGGTTAGGGTTTAGGGGTTTGGTTCTTTTCCGCTACAGGAACAGTAGGAACATATTGTGAAAGCTACGGAGTCTATTTCCTTCTTTCGGCCAGCAGAGCTGTAGTTTGTTTGTTCGGTTTCCCTCGCTAAAACCTTACAGCCCCTAGAGTCAAATGACGTTACGCTTGAAAATCCGGTGCAGTGCCCTGCCCCGGGTTTCAATTTTAGGAAGAGGTGCACATTGAAAGCTTTGTAAGAGTATCTCCTTGAAGTCCCTATTGCGGCCCTTTGTTGTATAAAGCCCCCAAAACCTGCCGTCATAGAAAGCCTTACAGAAAGCCTTTGAGGTATCCTAAACCCTAAACCCTATATCTCCAGAGGGCCCATAAGGGAACCCTAAACCCCCTGAATGAAGACCAAAAAGGCCCAACTCCCCACCACGAAGGCTCATATACTAAGAAAATTGAAGCGCTTCCGGTTTAGGGTGTAAGGTTTAGGCTTTAGGGTGGTCGGGTTTAGGGTGCAGGGTTTAGGGTTTAGGGTGGTAGGGTTTAGGGTTTAGAGTGGTAGGGTTTAGGAATATACTCCTTTGCAAGGCCCGACATCTCCGGCCGGTAGCCCAGCCTTTGCATTTCCTAACAGGCAGAGGGTTTTGCTTTGAGGCTTTATGGGGTTTAGTGGTGCAGGGAATTAGGGTTTAGGCTCTTCAGAGACTTTGGGCTGTCCTGAGGGCGGCCCTAAGTGTTGGCCTTGCGTGCTGTCTTTGGTTTTTATGTTTTGAGGGCTGTGTCAGATGCTGTAGCATCCCGCATCCCCAAACAACATTGAACAACAATAGGAACTCTGTCTAACATATTCTGGTCCGCTGCAAGTACAGGAGCCAGTGTAAACCATGTATGAAGGAAGCAGCACGGACGTCGGCCCCAGACCCCGATTCACCATAAGCTCTATCTTGGGTTTAGGGTTTAGGGTTTAGGGTGCTCTATCTTGAGTGCATCCTGTAGCCTCCAGATTCCCACAAGCAGCAGCATGCGTAGAGTCCCAGAGTTAGCTCCCAGATGCAGACATGGCCGGCAAAGCCGGGAAGGAGACAGTGTCGTGCGAGCCTCAGCTTGCAGGCTGCATGGCTTTAGGGCTTTAGGGGTTTAAGGGTTTAGGGGTTCAGGGGTTTAGAGGCTTAGGGGTTTTGGGGTTTTGGTGTGCTAGCTAACCTGCACCGGACGTTTCGTGTTTGTTTCAGGGATTGGACTTTCCTAAGCGCCCGGAGTGCACTGGTCTCAAGAATGAAGGTTGCCGTCATGGAGTTGCATCCACCGGATGAGACTTGATGGCTATCTGGTGCACTCGAAAATCCGATGTATGTAGATCAGAATCTCCCCAACGCAGCTTAGCAACACAGCAGTACCTGTCCATCATACGGATTCTGCGCCTGAAGCCGGTTTATTTAGGGCTGACA